GGAAAGAGATAAACCAGGAAATTAAAGAACAACGGGAAATGCTTCATAGTTTTTGAAAAGTATATATAATAAACATTGATTTATGCAACAGCGGTCATTAATATTAAACAATGAGACATATCATTAATGCAATCAAAGTCAACCATGGAGAATGTGGAAAGGAATGATCATATATATAGGAGAAATAAAACATATATAAAACGTGCACGATGGAGTCAGTGAATACTGTTACTATGTTTCAATTACAAAATGACTATAAATGGATACATTTGTTAGATTTTTTTTCCCCATTATAAGATTGGTACAAACTATCTATCATTAGAATTTAGAAGTAATAATTAAATTTTATGAAATTGCGATCAAGGGTACAATAACCAATATCTAAAATGGAATAAGTCATGCTGAGTAATCTTTTCAAGCAATCTTTTCATATAAAATACACGTTATGATTAGAGGAATTAATGAACTATTAAGTCAAATAAGCAATAAGATATTTTTTTTAATGATATTCTTCTTTTGAGTGTTTTTGGTGTCTTTTCCACACTTGTGGGGTTTCATGGAGCAAGATTTAGCGGTTAACACCACAGCAAAAAACAAAAACAAATATAAAACACTTGACTTGAATACCAGAAGCCAGCTAACATGCACAAAATTATATCACAATCACATATGTTAAAACGCACTAGGATACTAAACAATTCAACAAACCCATATATGCCTTCCACCATATGCTTGCGAATGAAAAAAATGGTAGTTAGACATTTTTTTCTAAACCATACTCTTAGAGAAACAACCAAGTCATTGTTTTAAGTTTAAAATCACGACCCAATAAATAACAATCCCTGAAATGGTCCAATTTGATTCGGTCAAGCACAGTGATAGTAATTATAAAGGCAACTTTCTCCTCTAATTCAACTAGTCAAGCTCGGCAACATAATAATCATATACAGTATATTCCACTCAAATAAATATAAAAAAATAAAAAATAAAAAAACTTGTTATTGTGAGTGAAGGAGAGCAATGATTTCACATTACAACCACGTGCGTGAATTCCACAAGAAGATGTTGGATTAGCTAGCACGGGTAGAGCAACAAGAAAAGCAAAAGAAATTAAGGAAAATTAATTGTATGGTTGTATAAGAAATGAAGAATCAGAATTACAGTAACATATGATTAGATTACAAGTTCAGAAGCTAATAATTTGATTTAATTGGGCTCTCTGTTCGCTACAAGTGTGATGAAGGTGGACTTTATATATATTACATAATTATAACAATAATAATGGATTGTTAAAAAGTAAAATCAAGAGGGGGGGGTGGGGGGGCGAATAGCAATTCTGGCGGGTAAGGGTCTTCCGGTTCCGTTGCCGCCGCAGCTGGAGCAGGCCATGCGACCCGACCCGGAGCACGTGGAGCAGCCCACATCGCCGTCGGACCAACGCGAACAGAGGCACGTGACTCGACCGGTCCCGTTGCAGGTGGGGCAGCGAGGGAATGGGCCGGCCATGGGCTTTTGGTCCATCACCGATTTCACCAGCACCGCTCCCGCCAGCACGCTCAGGCCGGTCGCCAGTTGGGTCAGAACCATCGGGCCCATGATGATTTGCTAATCGGAGATGGAGAGAGAGAGAGAGAGAGAGGGGGGTGAGGATAGAAGAGAGAAAGATTTTATGATATGATGTTGTGGAGTGTGGAATAATAGAGAGAGGGGAAAAAAAAAAAAAAAAAAGATAAATAAATAAAGTGGTTGTGGAATTGTACACGTTGACGACACTGCCTTTGGTGGCTGTTAGAAGCCTTGTGTTTGGACTTTGGAGGCTAGTCTAGATGTTTTTCTTTTACGTTTTGCTTTCTCTTTCTCTTTCTCTCTTCCAATTCCCACACATTTTTACTCTATTCTTTTTTTTTAATATTTATTTATACACTCAAAATACTATTTTACGCATCATCTCATCCATTTTTCTTATTTACAACGTTTAAATTGCTTTTAAATAATTTTCTCAACTATTGTGTTTAATAATTATTGTTTTAAAAGTACTACATCGTACTCTTGCTATCTATTGTCCTAAAACAGTAATTTTTAATAATAAAAAAAATTATATTAAATATATATAAAAAGAAAATGTTAAATAAAAAGTACATTTATTTAAAACATAAAAATAAAAAAGTAATTTCGGACCATTTTTCTTAGTCTCGCACAAAATAATTTGTTAATTTATGTTTAAAATTTTTGAAATGGTTTATCCAAATATAAAATCCTGAATAAGCACAAACAGACATATTCACTGTATATTACGTGGTAGAAAGTGACTCCTTTTGTGCGATTAATATTGAGACAAATGGCTATCATTTTTTATTTTTTTTTTCCTTTTATGCGATTAATATTGGGACTAATGACCTTTTAAAACAAGTATATCTCATAATGCGACGGAGTAAGAAAACATTCCACCTCTAAGAAAGTGCATTTTTTTACACTACTATAAAAAATATGGTCTATGTATAATGTTTTGTAGGCTATAAGAGTACAAAAAGATTATAAAAAAAATAATAAAAAAATCCTATAGCTACTTCTATGATATTAAAAACAATAATTTAGATTTCGATTTATATTCCAACTCATTCATGTGCGAGGCTGCATATTCAGAGTGGGAAAATTATCTATTCGTTAGTTTTTGTACAAATTATTTCGTATGAAGTAAAAGTATTTATGTTTTATTTTTAAAGAAAATTTATATTCTCTATTTAAAAAATATTTGTATGCAACTTCAAATGTTTGATATCACAAAAGTCCGTTTAGGGTGCACATATTAAACTATCACCTATTGTTTTAGTTTTTCCACGAAGCAGAATAAAGGCAAAATATACCTTTCTTAATTTTCACTCAAAGATCACATATAGTGTATTTTACAAATTGGCGTTGGTCTTGTTATGAAATCCGAATACAAAATTGTGTCAAACGTACAACGACGTTGAGATGGCCGAGTTGGTCTAAGGCGCCAGATTAAGGTTCTGGTCCGAAAGGGCGAGGGTTCAAATCCCACTCTCAACATGTATTAGTTTTTATTTTTATGCCGTAAATTTTTTCAATGATCAACAAGAGAAACTTTTTCTATGTCCTTCGTGATTCAATAATCACAAATCAATTATTGTATGCTCCCATTCTAATAACATATTTATTGTTATCAACCTTTCAAATTCCAATTATTACCAATCCGTTAACATAGCTTGATGCTAATTGACGATAGCTAATGTAATATTGTTAACCAGCTATTCGTACGTACGTAAATTTTAGCTTCAGTATGATAGTAGTTTGGGGTAAATGGACGGTGACATCCAAACACATTGAATTATTGAAAACGTGTTTTTCAATCTGCGTTTAGAACACAAATGTGGATAAAAGAAGTCAAAATTACAAAAATCGTGGCTTTTGTCTTAATGTGGGAACCAGATGTGCACCTCAGCTAGAAACTATATAGGAAAAACAAAATAGCTATTATCAAGTGCAACCTTACAACCGAGTTCCATTTTTACAGATTAAAAAAAGTGCTATCTTCCAAGTCCCTGACTCAACAATATGAGAAGAAATAACTGAAGGAAAAGGAAAAGTAATAAAGAAAACGCGAGGTTTGCTGGATTAGACTCACTTGTCATATAAAATAGAACTGAATCAATAATCACGTTTAGTAAAAATGATACATCATTTTTTGTTTCATGAGCTAGTTAAACAAAATTTCTCTTTGAAAGAAAAGAAAATACTACTCAAAAAACTTGTCTGATATTGATGTTGATTCTAGAAGTTTGAATGTATTTTAAGAAACAAAGATCATCTTCATGCGTCAGCTGTGTCTCAAGATGGCCTATTTCAGCATTTTCTTTATCTGTGAAGATCCGAGGAACCCCTACAACATAGACCAAATCGATTTCCAGTAGTTAGACAGAATTATGAAACTGCACAAGCATTGGTAATATCATATAAATCACTCAATTATTAATTAAACATGTTAATTCCCAACGATAATCTTTATCCATGTGACACCAATCACTAATTTTAAAATTTCAAATGATCATATGCATCACTCTTATTTCACAAACTAAGTTTAGGATGCTAACCATGAAAGCATTCCCTTGCATCTCGAGCCATAAGAACAACATCGCCACTTCGAAGGAACATTGCCAGGGGCGTATCCTCTCTGGATTTTCCTCCCAAAAGAAATATAGCTTTGCAGCCCAGACTGAGGCAACAGGGACAACAAACTAATTAGGATCCAATTACATGTTCAATCTTTCTTTTGAGTTTTGACCTGTTGGTATCTAGAAGCTAAAAAGCAAAACATTCAAAAGAAATTAGCATAGTACCTTAAACTAACTATAGGCTTGCTCCAATCTGCTTCCATGTCATCAAGGTGGCCACCCAGTGTGTCCCCTGGAATAATATAAAAATTAAAATGAGAGGTTAAAATTTTCTGTTGACACTTGCCATTGAATCAAAATTAAACTAAAAAGGGAGTAAAAGAGGACACATGGAACTATCACACAGGAAAATTCATAAGAACTGTCTACTTTAAGCATACCTAAGCCAAAGTAATTCACTATTGCACCTTCAGGCCTGAATTCAACACCAGCAGGCAAAGCAGGCTTTGCCAGTTGTTTGGCAAGCTCACACAGTGCATCAGGGATTTTGTTATGTGGGAGAGACACTTCGTAATTCCGCTGCACACAGACATAGTAATTGAGTGGTTTCCGGGAAAAATCAATGGGTATGACTTTTATAAGAATCTGAAATTAAATTATAATTCCCAATAAAACCCAAGGGTGCACATGTAGGTGATGCAGTCATAATAACCTCGGTAAAAGAGGTGTAGTTTGACATCTTTGTAACAGGGAAGAGAGAACTTCTAGCAAGCAAAATTTAAGATACATGTTGAGCAACCTTATAACAAGCAACAACAATCTTTAATCTCAGAAAATTATTGATTAAGATGCATCCAGCGCTCCAAAAAGTAAGAACGTAGTGGCACTGTCTAGAACACTTGGGCTATTTCTTAAAGCAATTGTCATTTACCTCATTCACAGTTTCAAACCACCACAAAAACAGTTCCTCTCCAGCAAAAAACAGATGTATCCTAAATAGTAGATACAAAGCCATTCCAAAAACAAACAAGCCCACAACTAAAATTTAATTGTTCAGAAGAGCAACCAATCCCAAAAATATTCAATTTGGTGAATCATAACTTACCTTGGACCAATCAAATTGTAGGCCAAGGGTGCTCCACCGCAACTTCCGAAGCAACGCAGAACCAGAAACCGATCTGCACTTCCTCAACGACGCATCCTTTTCAGTAGTAAACTTCCATCCTTTTGGAGAGTCAGAGTTGTCTTCAACCAAGACCTTCCCTTCCTTGGCCGCAACAAACACATCCTGAACAGGACCATACATGGCATTGTGATTTGTTCTGTTAGGTGGCTGCGGAAAATCAACCAAACTCTCCCTTATCAAACTACATTGTTTCTCTACGTTTAATGCCCCAGGAATAAAATAAAACCCTGCAAATTAGGCATCACCAAACATGGTTGAGTAACTTCAAAGTTCATTAGTTACTCATATATGAGCTAGTTAGTTACTCTGCTCATATATTTAGTTATCTAATGAGTTAGATAAATCATAAATGGCACTATATTCAATTTCGGTCTCTAAATCAAATAAAGAGAAAATACCTGGGTGATTTTGCAAGGAAAAAACTGGTGAAGTGAATTTGTCGTGAAGAACGATAACACCCGGAGGAAGCGCACCGTTTTGAAGATGGCATTGTAGAATGGATCTGAAGTCAAGGACCTCCGTTAGGTCAACGGATTTTGGTTGTTTTTTTCTGCAAAGAAAGGGAATTGCAATTAGAATCTGTTGAAACAACGAACTGAAAAACCCTAAGTTCAAAGGAATAAAATAAATAAAATAGTGAAATACTTTTTGTTCTTGGAAGAAGCATTGTTGTCGTAGTAGAGCTTGTACTTCTTCTCTGCTCTTCTGAACGCCGTTCGCTCCGAGTCTTCGCGGTTATTCTCGGATCCGTACATCGGAAAAGGGATGAAGAGGTTAGGGTTTTGTTTTTTCAACTAAAAAATAGTAAAATTGAAAAGAAAAAAATTATGTTCCTCGAGTGAAAAGTCAATAAGATCCTTATAGGGAGGGGCATTAGTGAGAATTCACATCGGTCCTTATCGAAAAAAATCTGTGTTTTGCGAGGGTGATGGAGATGCTTTATAAACTACGAATTTATCGTGTGTTGCGGAGAACAGAGAGAAAAAATGGCGTGCAGGAGCATGCTTCGTTCATCGATTCTGGTGGAACCGTTTCGATTTCAGCCTCTTCATTTTAGTAACGGTGGCGTTAGGGCTGGTCCGTTTCGCCGTGGCAAAGGCGTAACCCTCCGTTGCTGCTCTTCTCACAGCGAGACGCCGTCGTTTCAGGACGATCAAGGTCCCCCTCAAGAAGCCGTGTTGAAGGCCATTTCCGGTAATTCACCGTTCTCAACTATTTGATTTAACGGAAATTGAAATTGAAAGTTTCTTTGATTGGTTACGCTGCAGAGGTGTCTAAAGCGGAAGGGAGGGTTGGGCAAACCACTAACATGGTTATTGGAGGGACTGTTTCGGATGATTCTACTAATGAATGGCTCACTTTGGACCAGAAGGTACTTTTTTGAACTCTTTGCTTGCTTTTAAGTTTTAACGGTTTCTTTTGTTTGCACCTTGTGGCACTGTGTGTTGTTGTTTGTTGCAATACTTATGTGTTTGTAATGTGGGGTGTGCAGGTGAACTCATACCCTACCGATAGGGGATTCACTGCAATAGGAACTGGAGGTGAGGACTTTGTGCAAGCCATGGTTGTTGCCGTGGAATCCGTAATCCAGCAGCCAATTCCTCAGGTGTGTGTTCACGCCTCAACGTGTTTCTAGGACCTTAGAAATTGGATTTAGAGTCTGTTTGGATACAAGTTTTGAAGAACTTTTTGAGAGTTTCTACATTGGAAATAAAGAACTTTTTCAAGTAGAGAAACTCTTAGTAACATTTCTAAATTTGCATCGAAACATACTAGGGCCTGTTTAGATAAATACCTTAATTAAGGTCTGATTAAATAAGTATTTATTGTAAAAGTACTTATGTATGAATTGTTTTTATAATTGAAGGAAACATAGAGTCAAACTATTTTTGTATAAGGTCTAAGTTGTTTTGATAAGCTATCCTGTAGAGCTCATCGAAATAAGCTGAAAACAGCTTATGGACATATCATATCGGAAGTTATCTTGATATGCACTATGTGTCTATGTCATAAGATAGGTCCAAGTAAGTTGTACACGAGCTATTTAAAACAGGGCTTTTTTGAAAGATATGATGATTGATGCACTAATTTATAGTATGATCCACATGCCACGTGTATTCTTTTTCTATAAAACTATCTGTTCTGGTGAAATTAGCTGGCTTTCTTAGACAATACAAATATGATCCATGCTAATTGTAATAGTAATTGAAACTGTAACATATGCATATCTAATATATTTTTGAAGTTTTTTTATTTGTTATTATTTTTAATTTTGTGACTATTTTTGCTTCAGTCCAAGTCCAACTTTTTTATGTTACTTGGCTGTTTCTTCTTTAACATTATATGATTATTGTTGATGGAAAACATAGTTTCGTTTGTTAGGATTATAAAATAGTAGTCCAAGGTGGAACCATCAACCATAATTCAAGTCTTCTGTTTGATTGTCAAATAAAAGAATAAAGTCAAAAACACCCCCCGCTAAATAAAAACCAACTAATTGCAATGATTGTTGCAAAATTAGCTCTGTAGTATCAATATCCAATAGTACATCTATCATATTGTGTGTAAATAACCAATAATTAACATCTATACAACTAACTTTAGAAGTTCATTGTGAGCTGCAAGTGCAACTTTTGATTTGCATAGTTTTTCTGCTTTGGTGGTTATAAGATCATATGTCAATATCTATCATTTTATCTAGTTAATAGTTCTGGCTTGTAAGGTTGCTGAGCTCTGTCACCAATAGTTATAACAATACCAACCAAACTACTAAGTACTAACTATATTGACCTGCTAAAGAAAACTTCTTTAGATTTTATCATTGAGGTAAGAAGCTTGAAAATAGAAATATACCCATAACAGAGATACAAAATAAGCATTGGAAAGGACAAAGGGACTAATCTTGACCCTGCAATCTGAAGGACTGTGGTTAGAGGGTTTCACACAGTGTAAAGACTTTCAAGTGTATGCTCAAAGTTTCAAATTTGAGGTGTATTGCCCATAAAATCTTTCAAGGATGTGCTGAAGGTTTCCAGTATGAGGTGTATTGCCCCTAAAATCTTTCAAGCGTGCCCTGAGTTTCAAATAAGATATGTATTGCCCCTAACATATTTCAAGCATGTGCTCGAGTGAAAATAGTTTCAAGCATGTGCTTGATGTTTCTAATATTAGGTGTATTGCCCCCAAAAATCTCTTGTGGAAGTTGCTCAAAGGGAAGGAAAACACCTAGTCACAGACACATACAGACTTTAAAGGATGTGCTCATCACACACAGTCCTCTTGATCTAAAGCATAAAATCTAGATGGGCTGAAACTGAATAATCATCATCTATGAATAGTCCTGAAAAGTATTTCACTCCTCTCTGTTGCATGTGTGTAAGTGCGCCCTCACCCATGTAAACTCAATTTCGTTGATCTAAAGCATACACCTAGAAGATAGTGTCAGCCAGGTGTTAATTGCTTGTTATATTGTGACTGAATTTAGAAATTGCCTTTATTCTCTAATATTTGGCTGGTAGTTGAAGATCTGCTCTCCCAAAATAGGCAAACTTTACTGGTCTTTAATTGTATTCAGTTCCCTTTTTTACTCAAAATGTTTTGAAATTTGGGACAGGATGACCGACTGGGAGATGCTTTATACCTGTTTTATACAAATTACCTAGAATAGTAATGCAGTGCCGATATGACCTTTAGAAGCATTTAATAATTAAAACTGATAATTGTGCCCTGGTCAGTGATAATTAATTTGATTGCTCCTTAGTCTTGCACCAAGTCTAACAATTTGAGGAAAAGTGAAGTAGTCCACTGTACCGTAAGTACTTACAAAATGGACAGGCTGAGTCCATTAGAACCTATTATTCATCACATATAGGGTGTGTTCGGGTAAACAACTTGATTCAACATTTGTTCAATCAGCTCTTATCAAATAAAAGCTTCTTCAAGAGTTTAATTGTAATGCTTATTGAAATAAAGATAAAAACAGCTTATTTTCATCAACATCTCTATGAACCTTGTTAAAATAAGTTAAAAGAAGCTAATAGGAAGGTAATAAGCCACTCTCATAAGCCATAAATAACTTCGTCCAAATGCTCCCTAAATATATGGTAAGCTTTTATTTAACTTTTTATGAAGTATAACCTTGCATGCTATGATTGCCTTCAAGAGACTGATACAGGAGTGTTGAATACAGCATTATTAACTCTCATCAATATATTACATCTACACTTTTATTTGGTGGCTGATATTCATATTTGATGAACGTTAACATATTTTGTTACAGGGACGCGTGAAGCATAAGTTATCAGCAAGGGGCAAATATGTATCCGTAAACATTGGGCCTGTCCAAGTTGTTTCCAGTGAACAGGTCTTTCTGTGTTGTTTACTTGTCTCTTTTCCTCTTGTTGAAGGAAACCTTTGTAGCTTATTATTTTATTTTATTTTTGCTGAAGATGGATTTATTCTTAAAGAATATGATCCATGGTGAATATAACATAATATGGAATTTTGTTGCATTTTTCAGGTCCAAGCTGTATATAATGCCATGAGGAGGGATGACAGGATGAAATATTTTTTGTAGTATGTTAGATTTTGTATAGAATGCAGTGTTTCCACGGGGTTAATTAACACGTCTGCCTTAGAGTGGCTGGGCTGGTTTTGTTCTTTGATTCATCCATGATATCAGATGTAATCACATGATGCAAATTGGACCTCTTCCGTATTTTATGAAGATGTAATTAGTATATGATTTGTTACCCATAGTTATAATATTATAAACATTACTTTCTAGTGCATAGTGATAGAGTTGAAGGTGATCATGAATCGTAGATGTCCTGTTTGGTCTTTACATACTAATTTCATTAGTTTATTATTAAGAACTCATTCTTATTTCCTGACTGAAATTTTCGAATCTTTTCTACGTAATAACATTAAGGGCAATTGTATTGAAGACTTGAACTGATAGCTATTCTAAATAAAAAATTAAAAATTAAAAAAAAATGATTTTCTCTGATTTCTCTTTTTGGTAATCTATCTTTTCTGCTTTGTGGAATATAAATATGAAGTGGATGGGAGCAAAATCTGATGGGTGTGTTCCAACTTTCAATAATAAAACAGCATACCTTGCTCTTTTGCCACGATTGGTATCTCTAACCAGCACATTTGTGTGCTATCTCTTGTTTCTTTTTCTATTCTCTTTTTGTCATATTTGGGAATTTCTTAAGGATGAGACTTTGGTCTTTATCGAAAGGTAGCCACACCATAATAGGCAACTAGCATGACCAATACTTACCAAAGTGTACGTACAACGTGAACATCGCAGTTCTATATTACCCTGGCCAATTCCATATTAGTATAAAAATAAAGATTATATTACTAGAAAACATGAAACATTTCATGAAAACTCATCTTGAAGGCTACAAAATAGGTAAATGGTCGTTTCTTTTGTTTCATTTTAAAATATAATATTAATGCGAGTTGAGATATCCACGTTTAATATGTCACCAAACTTCGAACAAGATTAATTACCTTCAAAAGAAAATGCATGTAAAAAAACATGAAGCAAAACATTAAAATCATGTAATGTATATTTTTCTTACGTGATTTTATCATGTAATATTAAAAATAAAATGGTCACAATTTTTTCTATGATAAGATTCTTATATTTAATTTTTTTAAAGACCACATGCATATTTTTAACTTATATCTATTTGTGTCGATTAAGATGATAATGGTAAAACTTTTTCTAAGTATTAAATGTAACTGTGTATTAAAGATTTATATTTTATATTATTGATTAAATTAAAAAAACTTTATACCTATTTATTCATGTATTATACGAAATGTTTAATTTGTTTATATAATATAGAATTGATGACTTTTTTATCCATCAAAATTATAATGATGACACAAAAAAATCTTTTATTACTAGATAGAATTGATAATTTGAATCATAAAAAATGAACAAGCTTATAAAGTATGAAAGTAAATATATCATTCAATTTTAACTTTAAAATAGTCAAATTTATTAAATGCTGCAATTTAAATTGATAATGAATTTATTAAATGATTCAATACTGATTGTCATTAACTATTGACTTTTAAACGTTGGGCTGCTAATGCAAGTTCAATAGTACATAAGTCAACATTTCAATTTGCTATAAATTATAACGTAGAAAAATTATTAGAATGATAATGCAAGTCTTTAACTTGTTTTTGAGTGCTAAAGAGTAATTAAAGAGAGTTATCAAACCAGATTTTAGTTACGCACGTTAGTAGAAACTGAACCAATATCCATAATGGAACGAGAGTTAATTACATATATTTACTTAACTACTCGGGCCAACACATGCAAACGCGACAATAGCCACGATTTCTACCTAAATTTTCATTTACCATTCACCAGAACAACACATGGTTCAATTCATTTGGGCAATAACCCACCAAGCACAACCCTCATCCTCATAACATTGCTGAAAATTTTATTTTATTCTCTTTCGGAAATTGCTATATATCGTCGATAAGTGCTCAATAAACATTAGGTAAAAAAGAGCTTTTGATAAAATATTGAATATTTTTAATGCTTCAAAAAATATAATAAATAATTTCATATTTTTTTTCTAACAGCAATCACTTAGTTAACTGCACTGCATCACCAATTCACCATGCACCTTACTCAGCTGGTATGAAATTATATATTCTCACTTAATTTAAAACCAGCGATTCCTTTTGTCTTCAAATTCACGAACAACAAAAACGTAAAAGAAGAAAGCATGGAGGCGGTAATTAAAAGAGAAAAAGTAAAGTAAATGTATGATATAGTATGATGATGTTGCATGATAGATAGCATAGCCTAAAAAGTGAAAGAAAGAATGATAGTAAGGAAAAATCTAGGAGCAGAAACGCGAAGAATTGGAATGCGAAGGAGGTATCTGAAAGTGCCAAAGCCTGCCAGCACCGTTGACCATGTTCCTCCGACAAAGAAACTCCAAGGCATAAACCTTCTCCACCTTGCGATCCACGTCATGCAGAAACACGTGCGTCACACCGGATCCCTTCCGGTTGCGGGCCATCACCGCGGCGGAGAAAACCGCCGCCATCCTCCCCGGCGCCTCCGCGAAGTACCCTTTGGGCGCATCGATCATTATCATGTCCCACTCCGTCTCGTAAACCTCCTCCGGAAGATTCTGCAGCGCCAGCTTACACGCTTCGTTCCCCCGCAGGTACGCCGTCGACGCCGCGCACGTGGGTTCGGTCTTGTACGAGGTTAGCAGCGCCTTGGCCTCGCGCAGCTGGGTCCTGTAACGCACCGTGTGGGCCCGCAAGCCCGGCGCGTCCTTCAGGATCGAGTGGACCCACTTTGGGTCCTCCTCCAAGAAAACCGTCGTGCCGCCTGGGTTGAACGAGGCCCACATGAGGGAGTCGTGGCCCAGCCCGAACACCAGGAAGTTGACGGGCCGGCCCAGGGATTTTAACACGTCCAGGCTGATCTTGATCTCTGCCACGGACTGTTGGGGCACCACGCGCGAGGTCGCGTAGTGGAGAATCGCGCGGAGCTGGATCGGGGACGGTTCGTAATTGAATTCGGTTCGGGTTCGGATCCCCAACGCGCCTGGGCACACCACCGTTTCCGAGGTTCGGATCGCGCTCGTGAGGTAAAGCACCACTCCGATCAACCCAACCACCAAGAGAACCACGAACCACCGTTTCTCCGGCACCGGATACCGGTTCTTCATTTTTTTACGTTACGACACGTTTTTTACGCTCGCATGTGTATGTGGTTATGTTGCGGAGCATGTAACAGTGAGAAAAGGGTGTCTTGTGTCTTGTGTCTTAAGGGATCAAGGTGGTTTGATTTTGTCAAATGAAATTTTGAGTGATACGTTTTGAAGAAATTTTGGGGTTAGGACTTGCGACATGAATCAATGTGAAATTGTGAATATATGGATATCTCAATTGTGGTGACAATTGGCATTTCAGCAAATTGCAATGAGAATGACATTAGTGTTTATTCATGGGGCCACATTTTGAGATTCACACATCTTGTTTTTATACTACTATCATATTTTTATGTGTTTTTATTTTATTTTATTATCTTTCTATTATTTTATTAAAATTTTCTTTTTTAAATTATTATTAAAAAAATTATATTGACTAAAAAGGTCGAGACATTTCGTATTTGTAATAATTATTCTAAGAAGATATAAGAATATTTTTTTACATCTAAGATTTATAATAGTCTACTAAAAAGTGGAGACTAAAAGAATAATTATCAAAATATTTTATAATAGAATTTAAAAAAAGTAGTTATCAAAATATATCTTTTTTATAATGGGTATAAATTTAAAATTTTCATCTATATAATTTCATAAACCTTATGTCAATTTATCTTTAGTTTATATAATTTGATTGAAATATATTGCATTTTAAAATATACTGCAAAAAATTCATAAATGTAATTAATATATTTGCTTATATTAAAGTTATTTTAAATGTATTAGTTATATAATTTGACTGATAATTCTCTTTCATTTATGACAGATGTATAAAATATTTAAAAGTTAGTAAACATAAAAGTATAATTATTGAAAAATAGTAATTAATGGTGCTTTGAAATTTTGAATGCGCAATAAATTGTATTAAATTTTACTTATATAATAGAACAAATTTAAAAAGAAAAACTGATGAAGTATATTATTTACACATTTTTAAAAGAGAAATATTGAAACAAAGTCTTTGACTTCTCTCTCTTTTTTGTTGCTCACAACCACAAAACCAAATTCTTTTTTTTTCCAATAACATGGAAAATGTGTAAGTCATAAAAAAAATGTAGTTAAATTGTGAGTCACTCCATTAACTTATCTTTTAAAATATTGTAATGTGGTGTTAGGATACAAATTTAACACTCCCAGACTTGCATAATAACCACACCAACTTTTAAAATGTCTACTGCCCATGTGTGAACTTATCTATTATTTGTTTATGGTTTGTTTCAATGCTATCATAATATATATATATATATTCGCCCCACTTAATAATTCATGTTTAATATTAAATTTTAATGATTCAATTTTAAAATATTTAAGAAATTTTAAAAATTATTTAATATTTATTATATATATTTAAATTAACATATAAAATACTTTACAATTCTTTGTAAATTTAAATTAATAAAATAAAGTATCAATTATTTTAAAAACTTATAGACATTATCTATGCACTATACACACTTATATTAATATTACTACATATAAAAAGTATATACTTGAGAAAAAAAATACATTTTAAATGTATATACTATTTTTTATGTCAAGAGTTTACTTGATTATTTATGGGAAATAGTCTTTTGCTAACTTTTTTTTACCCTTAATTGCATACAACTTTCATTGAAGTTGCTACTATATATCCACATGAATATATGAATTTTAAAATATGTTTTATGGATATTTGTTAACTTTTGGTGACATTTGGTACGTAAAATCTTTTTATTTTATTGGGATTTTTAAATTAAAAATATTAATTTTTCATATATGGTAGTTACTTAAAAAAATATTTTTAGAAAATATAACTTCTTGAGAACCATTTTTATCTAACATTTTCACAAAAACATTCTCATGAAAGAGTCAAAATTCAATTTTTTTTCGAGTAATAAAAAAAGTTTTATGCATATAAAAAATCATAATATTTCTTTTTAAAACAAGAAAAATTAAATACATTATTATTTGAACAATAAACATGAAAATACATTAATTTTATTATCTAATAAAAATATGAATTAAATTAAACATATCATTAGGTATATTTTTTTTTTTTATCACTTTTAATTATATTGTTTTTTAAGAAAATAAATTAGTACGATATTTCATGTATAAACTTTTAATAAATTATATATTTTTCATAAGATATGATAATATTGTAAATAATATTTATATAATTAGGAAAGTAATGTTGAAACTAAATATGAGAATTTTATTTTCTAGGTGGGGATAGCAACTAATGGAATGGATACAAGTTTCATTATCTTCGTCCATGTCTTTGTTTTCGTGTATTATATATCCATATCATTCTCATACCTAATAGATATGACTTATGAGATTTGTGTTATCATCCCCATCTCCTTGAATATACTTGTACTCATCTCATATTTGCATAAAAATTAATTAATTTTTTTTAAATAAATATTAAAAAATAAGAATTTCAACATAGAATAATAATTACAAAATTACATTCATTAAATTTTATTTAATATAAATTTAAAATAGAGTACTGTTTACATAAGTGTCAAATACATTGTAAAAAAAATTAAAAATTAAAGCAAGTAAAAATACGAGTGCGAATATAGGTATGAGATAAATATGTGTATACTCATCTCGTCCCCATAACTAATTTAATGAATTGGATATTACCCGTATCCAGTTAAACTGGGTATTTTTGTCAAAGTCATAACGAATTCAGGTATTACTCATAAGTTTACTTGTCATCCCTATTTTCGTAAAACTTACATTAATATTTTAAAAAATCTTTAAACAAATAGATTTTAACCATTTTCAAAAAAATTTGAGATTCATAATTTTTAGAAATCATGATTCTTAGGTAAAAAAAAACTTATTCCTATCAAAAGCTCCCTAAATATAAATATTTTAAAAAAATATTAAATATAATGAAAAATTGACAATTCATATTAATCGGTTCAACAGATGAAACTCTCATTTTAAGAACATGACATGGCATTAATTCCATATTTACATAGCCCCGGTGATATATCCTGTTACTCTGTTCCTACCTAGCCATTTTGGGATACAATTATTTAAATAATAATAATAAATAAATAACAATTTAGTACTTGCAAATAATTTACAATCATACGTCCACGAAATATTACCGGTGAACGTGAGTCTCTTTCTCACATTAGAATCCTTTATAAGTATGCACTTAGAGCATATCCGATGAGGCTCTTATAATCAATTTCTTTAAGTTTTTATTTCACTTTAAATGGAATATACCATCTTATACCACTTATGAGTAATTTATATTATATTTTTACAAGTTTTGTTAAAATGGATAATTTTTATAGATATCTTAAACTTTTATAATTTTTTATTTACATTTCATTATTTATTTATATTTCACTTTGTGTGAAAGAACTTGGTGAAGGGTGTAATTATGTAGGAAGACAGTATTTTTTTTATTTTATTTCTAAACAACCGTCTCTTATATAATAAACAGTATTTAAATTTTAACAATCTTTCATACCATATGAGCATGTTCTAATGGAAATTATTATAAGAGTCGGGTACTTAAATTTAAGAAATGGTTAAAAACTGAGTATGGGAAATGTTCTTATAGAGGTATTTTAATTTAATAATAAGAAAATGTCTCCATTGTGTTGTTGAAACACTGAATAACAAGATCAAGTGCAAGGGATTTATTAGTAATTTACATCAAATTATTTTAACTTAATTGATAATTATTTGAATTTTAAGTATATAATCATGTTAAACTTTTTAGTGATACAACTTTGTTACTTATTAATAATTTTATTAAACTCAAACAGTTTGCTAACAAAATAATGTGGCCATGGGGGAAAATGTCAAAGGAAAATTATGCTTTTAAATGATTTCGTCTGCCTTAAGTAGTTGAATCCTTGACTGCAAATTTTAAACAAAACGGTAATAAGGTGAACAACATCCTCTTATATCTCCAAAATAGCATTAAATATTATAAAGATTGTATATAATATATAATCAATTTAAATAATAGATATAAATGTCATATTAATAAAATATTATGCATTTATTTGATGTTAAATAAATGATATGTATATATATTAAATATAATATATGATTATTGATATATATAAAAATATTAGCTAATATTTTAAAATGTAATACGTTATTAAAAACGATTGTATTTTTATATTTTAGTGATAGCAACTAGCGATTATTTATAAAAATATTTACTTGTATTACTCGAACGAACGAATATATGTTACTCTTCAATTTTTGTGAGTCACACAAATAAAAGGCTATAAGAATTTCTTTAGAATTTTGGATTATTAAAAAATCAATTAAATGATTTAAAATAATAAAAAAAATGTTGTGGTACAATAAAAAAAAAGTGTTAAAAAATTATAAAATAAATTTTAACATGCTGGATTGATCACAGTGACAGTGGTCTAAGTGGGTCTGAATGGAAATGGAAACCGTGTTGTTGTAAGACCATCAATAGTTGACCCTACGGGCTTTTGGCCCAAGGCTGATGGGTTGGATCTTTCAATATATTTTGGTCTCATTAAATTTTATTTTATTTTTTAAATAGAAAAAATTATAAAGATGGTCGCAATAAGCATTAAACCTAGGTTTTCATGTTTCTAATTATCTTAACATTTCCCTACTCAACCACTAGGCTAACCCTTTCATTATAATTTATAGAATATTTTAATTATAATTTAATTAATTATTTTTAAATTTTATAAAATTAATATTATTGGAGTGCTAATTTTGTTTGTTTTATTATTTAAAAAGAATGAAAAATATAAGGTGAAGTATCGTTTTCGTGACAATCAAGTACAAGAACAGAAATCATAAATGCGTTCCACTTTGGATCAATACCGCTGTGCTGTTGCCTGGGACTTTCCCTCCCTCAGCCGTGTGCCTCGTGTCAAATTTTAACATGTCCATAAACCACAACCCTCATTTTTTTTTTAAATTTAAAAAAATGAAAATTTTTTGAACGCAATTCTATAGAAATTAAATTAACTAAAAACATATTAAACAAAATTAATTAATTTTTTTAGATAGAATTGTAATATGGTGACAGAAAAATAAAATTATAATATTTTTAAGAAAAATAGGTTATGTAGATTAAAACAATTTTACATTATCATCTAATCACAAATAAATCAAATAACTATTATAATAAATTTATTGATTTTTTTTTGTAATAATTAATTTAAGAGTCATATAATGATGATACTTTTTATTCATTAATAACTAAAAAAAGTGGATTAATATATACTTATTAAATTATAATCTTAATAAATTGTTTTAAAATAATTTATCTAATTTTTTGTTCTAAATCAAAAGGTATACTAATTTAGTAGCGAGACTTATGATCTTTAACAAATCTCAATGAAGAACAAAAAGAATAATGTTAGAAAGAGAATATGAGAAAACCTGAGTTATTATTATTAACATTGCAAACAAAATAAGCAACTTAAAAGAAAGAAGATGAAGTTGAACTACTGGGTAGTAGGGGTGTGCAAAAAATCCAAATTGATCCGAACCGATCCGATCCATATTGAAAAATCCGATCCATTTTGAAAAAAATATAAACCGAACCACTTTATAAAACCGGTTCAGTTATCCGATTCATTTTTACAAAGTGGATCGGTTCGGTTCGGTTTAGTTTTCTAAAAAAACCGATCCATATATGAGTAAAAAAGTGGATAACTGCACCGCATCGAACCGATCCAATTTCAAAAAAAATGATCTATATTTTATAAAAATCAAACTGATCCACTTTATAAAAAATGGATCGGTTAACCGATCCACTTTTATAAAACGGTTCGATTTGGATCGGTTTTTTAAAAAAATCGATCCATGAACACCCCTACTACGTAGCTATGGCACGTGAAGAATGAAATTGCGATGGCAACATGACACCTAGTGGTTGAGGAGCAAAGGTATTTATACTATCTTTGTTTTCCCCGAACCATAAGCTGAAGAAGCAATGACCCCTTCTCTTAATTTAATTAATTCCAACCACTACCTGCTTCCCTCTTTCATTAATTATTTCCTATGCCTTCTTTCATTATGCTCACACTTCACAACCCTTCCTCCTTCATCACACGAGTAGCTTTAATAACATTGCTACCTAATCTTAATTATAACTAATAACCAATAAATAATTAAAATATATATATATATATATAAAATTAATATAATTATTTTTTTAATCTCCTATAAATTTAAGTTTTATTTCAAAATGTACTTTTTACTTCAAGTAATTATTATATTTAATGTTAGTTATAAATGAATGGATGTAAAATAGAGTTAATAATAAATAAAAACTATAAAATTATTTATGGCGATGCGTTGGACACGCGAGCAAGTAATTATGTAGTATTAAATAAAAAATAAAAAATAAAAAATAAATATAAAAGTTAAGATAGAAAATAAGCTCAAACAAATTTTTGAGTAAATTATACTGATCTTGAAATTGTATTCACACCACTATTTTTTTTATTTTTTATAACATTTACGGTAATTTCTATAAAAGGGAGTCACAATGTAATTTTTCAAATAATTAAAAGGTTAATGTATATTTTAAGGGGAGTTAATATAATACTTTGTCCAATCTAATGAAACGGATGTCAATATAATTTACTCCAAAATAGTAAAAAATTATACTCAGTCAAAGAACTAACGAGGGTAGTATTTAGCATGTTATATTCGTATATCTATTCATATGAAATAAAATATATCGTGAGAGATCATTATTTTCAGATATTTTTTAAAATGAATATCCATACTTTCAAGGATTAGTTTTTGACACTCAGACAGAGAATACGCATAATATATATATATATATATATATATATATATATATATATATATATATATATATATATATATATATATATATATATATATATATATATATATATATATATATATATATATATATATATATATATATATATATATATATATATATATATATATATATATATATATATATATATATATATATATATATATATATATATATATATATATATATATATATATATATATATATATATATATATATATATATATATATATATATATATATATATATATATATATATATATATATATATATATATATATATATATATATATATATATATATATATATATATATATATATATATATATATATATATATATATATATATATATATATATATATATCCTTCCAAACTCAAATATAAGAAAAAAATAAATAAATTTAAATATGTTTTTATCCTTAAAATTAGGATAAATTTATTTTTAATCTTTAAAATTCAAAAATATTATTTATAGTTTTATAATTTTAAAAATTTTATTTTAATATCTCAAATTATTAATAACATATATGAAAGTGACAAATTGAGATATTTATATAGTATTAGTTGGGTTTAATATAATATTTTTATTAATAAATACATCAATAGATATATTAATTTTTTATGTAGTAGTATTTGATAGATTTTCTAATAAAATTTTAGTATAAAGATTAAAATAATATTTTTTTAAAAAAATTATAAGGACTAGTTAAAAATAGTAATTTTAAATTTTAAGAACCAAAAATAAATTCATTCTAAATTTAATGGACTAAAAACATATTTAAACAAAAAAATATCTCATGAATTGATAGTGTTTTTTATTAGGCACTTTATAGTTTTTATAAAATAATAGTTGTAGTTTTCTTTTCATACTTTTATTAGAGGTTGTGTGAATAAGTGTTTTTTTTACCTCTTAAACTATCCAATTATTATTTATTATTTTATTGATATTGATAATTTTTTTTACTATTTTTATAAAAATTTAATGACAAGTAAATAGGAAAATTTTGATAGATCATAATTTTATTTTATAAACTTAATAAAATTAAATAAAACAACTAATTATACTAATTCATGTGATTTGATTAAAAGTACCTTATATAGAGGTGGAAGAAAGTAAAATATAAGTAAAAAACATAATAGCTCTTTAAAATGTAGCAAAGTTAATTTAATTAAATTATCAAATATAAATCATAATTTTTTTTTTCAAAATTAATATATACACATTTTTATTAAAATAAAGACGAATATAATTTGTATTTACTATGGTTATTAAAATTAATATTATTTATAACAACTAATATCTCTCGTGCTAAATTTATTATGGTCGAATTCAAATATTTATTATCGTGACGCTGTTAGAAAATTCAATACCAGCATATTTCGTTTGGTTTTAGACTCATCTTCGGTATTATCGTCCTCGTGGTCCATGGATCTTTAAGTTTTTAAGCCTTAAGTTAAAATCTATTAAGTACTGTTAACTATCAGTTTAAGAACAACGCTTAGAGATTTTTAAAATAAATAAATAAATAAATTAGGTATCTTATTTATTCCTTTTATAAAATTGAATCTAGAATGTTATATGAATTATTTATTCTTTAATCCTACAAAATATTTTCAATTATGATTCGAGTTGTTTTCCCTTTTCCAAATCCTTTATTAATTATAAGTTTTTTTTTTATAATTAATTATATTTTATTTAAAATATTTCTAAAACACTTTTCATTTGAGATTCTAAGTTGAATGACTATTTTTTATTTTTTATTTAAAGTAAAATTTTAATAAAAAAAATATTATTAATTATAAATAAATAAAAAACTAACTTATACATTAATTATAGCGGCACCTCGCTGTGGACATTAAATAGAGAAGAGCAGGCATGGCACTTGCCATTCCCACACACCTCTCTTTCTCTTCTCATAACAAGAACAAGGTGATTAGGTGGAGCAGAGGAGATGAAGCAGCAAAGTGGAATGAGGGGGTTGGGCTTGGGCCTGGGCCTGGGCCTGGGCCTGTTAGTGTTGATGCTATGCTTGTCGAGGAGCGCGGCGGAAGACTTGAGCTCGGAGTGTTCGAAGGTGGTGGAGAAGGTGATACCGTGTCTGAACTTCGCGACGGGGAAGGAGGCGACGCCGAAGAAGGATTGTTGCGATGCGATGGGGAGCATGAAGGAGACGAACCCGGAGTGCTTGTGCTTCGTCATTCAGGAGACTCACAAGGGAAGTCCTCAGGTCAAAAGCTTGGGCATTCAAGAGGACAAGCTCCTTCAGCTCCCTTCTCTTTGTAACCTCAAAAACGCCACCGTTACTAACTGTCCTAGTAAGTGCATTCACCTCAAATCTTACTCTCACTCTTCTTCTTTTAATCCATACAAATCAACATTTTATCATCATATTTTTTGTTTTTGTGTATTTGAAAATTTAATTGCATGATTTATTATGTAAAAGGAAGTTTTAGTTGTATTTAAACAAATTTTAGTATCTCAAAAATGTTTTTTGAAAAATTTATTCGAATAAAATTCATGCTAATTATATATTAACCATTATATGTTAAATTGGAAAGCCAAGTTGGTTTTATTATTTTTTTTTTGTGAGCTGATTTGCGTTTTTGGTTTGCTCCATGTATTTGTATATCATTTGGTAAAATACAAAATTTGTGTTCACTAGGTTATGCGTGTTTTTATTTTTTGTATTACTGTAATAATTAAAAATCAAAATTTTATTAAATAGTGTCGACGACCTTTGATGTTAGTTTCGTGTGTGATTAAGTTTAAGTTAATGTTTTGCGCTTGTGAATTATTAGGGTGAAGTTCTAATTCTGGTCGAGAAATTGTTCGTTGGTGAATTTTGGATGGGCAGTGTTTCAACTTTCCGTTTATATAATTTTATTAGTACTTTTTAAAATCACTTCATTTTTAGGCAATTGCTAAATATTTTTTCTTCTTATTCACGAAATTTCATATATAAGAACAAAATAAAAGGCACGATGGTTAACATAGTAAACATTTTGAATCCTAGTATTCTCATTAAGAAAAACTTACGCAAACACTACTGCTGAAGGTCCTTATTACTTCTCATTCTCCCAGTTTTTTCCTTCTCTGTTAAGTTTTCAACAATTTGTACTGAACTTTTTTAATATCAAACATATGTAACTATGTAAGTACACCTTTGAACAGTAGCAAAAAAAATGACGTGACCCATCATCTAGATTGGTTAGAAGGACAAAATTACTTGCAGACCTCTCATCTAGATTGGTTAGGACTTACGAGGGTTGTTGCAATTACTTTCAATAGGATTGCAAATTTTAGCTAGAATCTGATTCTTGTCACTAATTAAATTGATATGTGACCAAAGGGGTGTCTCAAGAGTCGAACTGTTTATATATTTAATTTTTCAACTGATCTATAATTAACAATTTAGTGACTTTCATCACTTTGAAGTGTAACAGTGTAACAGTGTATATTCATATAGGTTAAATTGTGAACTAAGTTTAACCTCTTTAAAGTAGTCTGAGCATCAATATTAATATTTCCAAGATTTTTTAATATAAAATTACATGTAGACACAGATATTTGTGCGTGTATATTTCTTAAATAGCCGAATTCATGCCAGCCAGTTTTTCCTTTTCCATATTTGAGTTACTAAATGTTTTATCCCATTCATGCTAGCTATTGGGACTATTAAGTGCTCGATGGAGCAGAAATGGCAACCTAGGTGGAAAATTGTACTTGTTTGGTTGGTTACTACTTGCAATAATAATTTTGGTCACATGTTGTCAATAATGCCCCCTTTCAGTTTTGAAAAAAAAAATGTTAAAAGAATATATTATTTGTATTTTTCTTAATTTTTTTTAGTATGACTTGATTTTTCTTTAAGTAACCCTTGAATATGGACAGAGCTTCTAGGGCTATCTCCCAACTCCCCCGATGCTGCTATCTTCACAAATTCGTCAAAGGCAACTCCATCATCAGCGACCCCACAAAGTAGTACCCCAATGAGCCAGAATGTTTCATATGGAAACATGGTTAGACCTAGAAGCGTTACCCATGTGATGATGGTGGCTTTGGCCATTGTTGTGGTTGCAGTTCCAAGTGGATTTGTGAGCATAATTTATACATGATGACGATGGGGGAGGTTGAATGCTTCATCTACCTTCATTGATGAAGCCGGTGTAGTCGTTTTGGACTTTGTAGCTTTGAATTAATGAATTGGTTTGCATATGTTATGTGGTCAGTGATGGTTTCTCGAATTTTGGGACCTGCCTATATCGTCGCATTTAATTTACTTTATTGTGTGGACTTGTATCTTTTTCATCTTCCCACGAATCATATTAATAGCAGTTTGTTGAGAGTTGAGAAATTAATACACTTTATTTCACTTTCAACAATTCTAGTTTACATCCTCAGTTTTTAATTTTAAAAGTAATCAAGTCAATTATTTTTTAAATTAATTAAGCTAATTTATTTTGGTTTTATTTTTTTATTTAAAATTGTTAATTATTATTATTTGTTCAAATATCCACTCTGTTTAGAGTTTATTGAAATATACTTGTGTAGATTTATATATGGTTGGTAAATTAGAACTCAATCCAAAAAAAACTTTTAATAATACTACACCGACGACAATTATGATTAAATTATGTAAAAAAAATTCAATAATATAATTATTCAAAAAATTATATAAAAATTATAATATAAAATATGTATAATTTTATCTTCTATAGTTAACCAAATTAAAAATCATATTTAACCACTAGGATTAGTCTAGTGATTGGGTAAGAAGGGATTGGAGAAGTTAAAAGTACGAGGATTTAAGTTTAATCTTCGTTGCGATCATCTTTATAATTTTTCTTATTATTATAAAAAAAATTAAAAATCACATTTATATGAAAATTAATATTTTCTTTTGAAAGGAAGCAACTCGTGATTTTATTAATAAAATAAGGTTACGATACAATTTGGAATCAAAGGAAAAATATGGTGAGTACCAATCACTACTTTTGGTATTAATTATGAATAAATTGATTTTTTTTGTCTCTATTATAAAATCGTTAATTTTTAAATTTATTCTCAAAGTTAAAATTTATTTATACCTTTCATTTATTACATTAACTATTTTTTCTATGACTAACATTAAATATAATAACTACTTTAAAAAGTTTTTTAAAACAAAAACTTAAATTTATATATAATTAATTAAAAGCATTAATATTAATATTTTTCTTAATAATTTATTTTATGTTGCTTACAATTAAGATAAAAGGTTTACTTTAGATTCATGCAAGATTATGTATCTCAATGGAATCAATTTCATGATTTTGCAAATATTAATTTTTTATATCTATTAAGTGTGAATTCAAATTTAATGTAATTGTGAAGAGATGATTAATTAAAAACTCTCAACGACTTGTTGACAATCAAACTAAAGAATAATGTTGTACAAGTTAAGCTTCTGAAGTCAATTTGTAGCCTCTATTACTCTCATTGTTTCTTCCTCTTAAACCACATAGAATTCTTAGTAGTGCACAGTTTTTGCAAATGGTAAATCTTCCATTTGAATCTCTAAGACAAATCCCAATACAAGTACCCTTAAAGGGTGTTGCATCTATATATAATTATATATGATGTACTTTAGAAATCCTTTTGGCAACTTTCTCCATCATAAATTAGTGGATTGATTTCTTAATTTTATTAATCAATGTATGCTATTTAAGAACAGTTGTTTACATATATTAATTTTGTTAATCTCATATAAAATAATATATTTTACTAAATTATTTTCCCATAAAATTTGACATCAAGAATTAAAAAATATTAAAAATATAATTTTAATTAAATGAATATAATAGATTTTTCTACTTCTTATATTCATAATCCAACAAATTACTACTTTGTTCTTATATATAATATGTAAAATCAAAATACCTAATTTATCAAGATCAAGAAAAGTAGTTAAATCTAGTTGACAATAATAAATTTTTCTTTTACATACACATCCACACACACATATATATATATATATATATATATATATAAAGATAAATTAGTTACATAAATTAGTTAAAAATAATTGATACTTATATATTAAACATAAATTTTTATCATACACAAAAATATTTTTAAGAATTTTTTTCGACAAGAAAGTTTTTAGAAAAAATTTAACTTTTTATTTAGTTCAATTTTTATTTACCATAATTAGTTATGAGTTAAATTTTAATGTTTTAAAATAAATAGTTAATAATAAAAATAATATTTTATTACAATATAAATTATTTATCATAAATATAAAATATAATTTATATATTTAAAAATATATACTTATACAAATTTTAATTATGATTTATATATTCAAAAATTATATTTATTTATATATATAATTATTTATTATAAATTTTAATTATATATTAAATATTTTGTACTAGTATATAGTAAACAAAACAATTTCATAAATTTAATTAAACATTAATTTGATCTAATGTATTTATATACTATGTATAATACAGTAATTATTTAAAAACTCTTTCGAACTTTCTTTAAATCAATTTTTAATTTCTTTTATGATAGTATACTTCGTTAAGAATGTTCATATTAAAATTAATTATTTTATTTGTTTAATGAGGGATGGACACCATCAGAATCAATATGTAGTAGTTGGTGGTTTGCTTGCAGATTTGATACGTGCTTTTGCTCCATATTTTCACGTCAAATCTTTAGTTTACGCAGAAACTACTGTGTATTGCGTTGATCTTTACATAGATTTTCATCAAGTTAACGTTTTACCAAACATGTATCATAAGCTATAGGAATTTTAAACTTAGTCTAAACTATTTTTTTCTCCTATATAGCAGTTGTTGCTTAAAAAGTAGAGTTATTTTTTTTTTATTTCACTATATACTAAGATTTCATTTTAAATTAATATGACTTGATCAATAAATAAATAAAGTCTGATAAATAATTGTTTTCACTAAAAAATTAAAATCAAACACTGCCCAAAGTATATAGTGAAATAATACACTGTCCAGAGTAGAGTATTTAAATTTACATATTGACTTATAGATGTGCTCAACCAAGACATTTATAACAAATTACATACTTTAAAATTCGAACTTAAAATCAATTTAGAAATTAGAAGAATCAGGTTCATTTTGAATCTAATTAGTGGTCAAAATATATAATAGGATATAAAAAATATAATAAGATAAAAGTGAGATATAATAAAAACACGATAAATTTTATTTTATTTGATATTTAATGTATATAATATTAATAAATTATATGATATTATTATATTATAATTATTGTATTTAATATAAACCAATAATATATGACATAAGTTATGTTCGAAAAATATAAGATTTTTGTTCCATTAAGATTACATGTAACTTTTAAAAAAATAATTTTAATTTAATTATTTTAAAACTTCATATCAAAAATATCTTAAATATATTATATTAAAATATTTTCTATTTATGTTGTTTTTTTTTTAAATTATATAATTATATAATTATAATTATTATTCAAAAAAATATCTTTATAACTATTTAAATAATAATTTTTCATGTTTATATTTTAGTTAATAATATACTTTTAAATTTTTTGATATCAAATTTATAATATATATTATATAAGTTAATATACATATATAAAATATTATATAATACATATTGCAATATTTTTATAAATTAATATATAATTTATATGCATTATTTTTATTATATAATTTTTTTCCTATAATATATAATATAATGTACATGATATAGTATATGAAATATTGTACATAAAGAAAAAGATGAAAGCTTATTATATTCCGTTACGTCGTAACCTACCATGCTCTTTGAAATAAAAATATACTAGATAAACAAAATATGATAAGAGATATTATAGTTTTCTCATAATATCTTAACACAATAAACAATGAATTGTCAAATTATAAAATGATTGAATAATTATTTTATTTTATTTTATTTATATTAATTTTTTATTTATAATTTAAAATTTAATATTTAAATTTTTTAAAATATAAATTAGTTATCAAAAGTATAATATATAATTTACTGATATTTATTAAATGTAACTAAATTTTATGATAAATTATGTATACAAATAAATATCATGTATGAATATATATATTATATTTAAAATTTGTATAAATGAATATTTTTTAACATATAAATTATATTTAATTTATGTGATAAATTAAATAATTTATATTATAACATTATATCATTTTTTAACATATAAACCCTAAACCCTAAACTTGATCAAATATTTTTATTTACTGATGATTTATTTGTATGATATTAAAATTTATTTAATAAAAAAATCATCTTTAACGTTTGTTGCATTTGATTTTTTTTTCTTCTCTTTATTAATTTTTCTTTTTTATTTACACATTTGGTAATTTTTTTCATATTTTGAAATTAAACTTTTAAAAACAAATTGGAATGAAAATTTCAAAGTCTATTTCTTAGACATTCCATAATTAAACTTCTATAAGGCTGTTTGTTATATATTTTGTAATTAAGCTTTCACCAAACTATCTGTATATAATATAATTATATATTCCAGAATCATGATTTGGGTTTGGAACTATACAACTAGATTTCAAAAGTTTAATTTTGAATTATACAAATAAACCTCCAATGTTTTAATCCAGGAACGTGTAACAAATAAGACTTCTAAATACTTACTTTTAGTCTTCAGAACATATTCATTTTTTGGAAAAATTACTGTGGCGGTGTTTTTGAGAGAGACTTGTGTTGTGTTTTCATATATGTAAGGCTTGTGCTGTGTTTAATTTTGCTTAGGAGATAAAAGTTTGCAAAGAGTAAAATATCAACGTATTTTTGACAAAAACACATTTTCGTTATATATCCCCATTCTGCACAATATTTTATCAAATTAATTGAGGTGTTCATGAATCGAATTTTGAAAATTTTAAATTGAATCCAATCAATCTATTTTTAGAAGTAAATTAGTTAATCAATTTATTTTTATAAAGTGAATTAATTTGGATTTTTTAAAAAATATAGATTAAATGGACTGATTCGGTTTAATATGATTATCTATTTTATACCCATATATGAATTAATCTTTTAAGGAAATCAAACTTATCCAATTTATAAAAATAGATTAAATAATTAAATCGATTTTAGAAAGTAGATCATTTCGATTGTAGGTTAATTTAAATTGTTTTGCACATTCCTATAAAAACGTAAAAAATAAATTTCTGTTGCGTATATTAATGTTAGCACAGTACATAACAGAAACATATTATCTTCAAAGGAATATGAGCTCAGGAGAAAAAAAAAAAACGGGTGTGATCATAAGAATAATATTACGGGCTTATTTGATATTTTTGTTGGTTGTTGGGCCTTATCTTGGCCCGTTCTCAATTTAGAACAAAAAAGCATTATATTAAAATAGTCTTAAAAAAAGACATTATATTAGTTATTTTGGAATTAGGGGTTTCGTATTTTTGTTATTCTTTCTCTAACCTTGAACGATTTACCGCCGCGCCGGAGAAGAAGAAGGATCCGTGTCGCATCGCCATGTCTCAGGTAAACTCCCTCTCATTCCTTCACTTCTCCAATTCCCTTCGATTCGTTCGCCTCTTTACCCACGCTTTTCAACCCTAACCCCATCGATCTCGGTTCTTGAGGGGGATTTAGGGTTTTGTCCATCATTAACGCTGTAGTTTTTATTCCTTTCGTTTTTCAGCATTTTTGTAGGGAATCAGCTTCTTCGTGCGGATTTGTTTAGTTATTTATCTATTTAATTTGTTAAATGTAACTTCTGTTTGCGTAAACGCCCAGTGAAATTGGAATCTCAGCCTTGTGATTGGTTTTGCAGGTTGATAACAGAAATTCCTCAGCTGCTAAGCGTGCTAGGACTGATGGTTCGTCATGCTTTTGTTCCTTTCTTTCTTTGTTTTTCGCTCTTTGGTGTTTATGGATACTTTAACATTGCTGTTGATACTTGAAATTATCGTGCGTGCTATTTTACATTCTGCAATCTAGACATTAACTGGTAGGAGTTTTTTGCTAGCTTACATAGTCACCACTGTGCTGATTTTCTGGCATACAATCATACAAACTCTTGCTTGGTTTTAATGGATGATGTGGTATTATACTTGAACTCAGGTGGATTTTAATTTGTTTTTGTTTGTAGGTAGTCGTAGGGAAGACGATTGGACATGCCCTAGCTGTGGCAATGTCAATTTCTCTTTCAGGACAACTTGTAACATGCGTAATTGCACTCAACCGAGGCCCGCTGATCATAATTCGGTACGATATTACATGTATTGTCACTGTGATATTTTCTAAAACGAGGTTTTCATCTCGCAAGTCATTGAAGGTTCCTTTATTTTATGAGAAATGTTATCAGTAGCATAGTCAGTAGTCATCTGCTTTTCTCTCTCTTTTACTTTCTCTTTACTTGTGTTTTCTTTTATATTCCTACTTTATGCTCATTCCGTTGGCCTGTGAGCTTTTATTCCCAAATGATTGGGAATGTAGAGGTCATGGAATTCAGTTGCTTATGCACGCAGCACGCGTAAGAAAGGATCAACATGTATATTTGTTTCTTTTAAACCTGTTTTTATGATCAAATCTCTTTATGTATTCATTTACCTCTATACAGAAATCTGCTGCCAAGCCTCTCCAAGTTCCACAGGGCTATTCATCCTCAGCTCCTTACATAGGTTCTAATACTCCCTCTTCAATTTATCTTGGTGTTCCACCATACGGGTCTTCTCTGTTCAATGGGTCGTCCATTCCTCCCTATGAAGTTCCATTTTCTGGAGGATCAGCATATCACTACAATTATGGTAGTCGTCTTTCTGCTGGCAGTCCTTATAGACCGTTGCACTTATCTGGACCTACACCTTACACCAGTGGATCAATGATCGGAAATGGTATGTTCTGTTACTTAGTTTATGTTGTTCAAGTTGATGAAGTTTCTTCAATCTGATATATAGTGCTTCATGTTTAATTTTTTGTTAATTATTAAAAGAAAAGAGTAAAGGTTAAAAATTAACAAGCAATTGGAACTTTCTTTTTGTATTTATAATGGTTGATATAATGTTACTTAACAATTGCTTCTGTTATATTATCTTTTTATTTTATGCTTCTGTTGCAGTTAATATTAACTTTTTTGGTTGTCTATTATTAGCAGGTGGGATCTATGGCATGCCCCAACTGTTGGATCGGTATGGCCTGGGTGTGCCTATTGGCCCTGGGACAATGGTATGAAGCTGTTAGCTAAGAGATTAAAATCAATTGTTTATATCATGATTATCATCCCAGGACCAACATTTTTTTATTACTCTTGATTATTTCTTGACATAACCTGGAGAATCATTTGCCAAGTTATTTAGTATTGTTCATAGTAAATAGAAGTATATTAAAAGCTAGATATTTTTTTCTATACTATGACAATCACAGGTCATAAAGGTCTTATAGAGCTGCATTTACTTTTTCAGAATCACAGCTTACTAATTATGTTATATTTTACTTTAAAAAAATTGAGTGTACATCATATTTGCATTCTTTTGTCTTCAAAGTTGGATATGATCCCCAGTAAGTTAATGCAGTATAATTTGTAAATTGTAATTTCATGCATTTTGTTGCAAAATGGAATTTAACAGTTCATACTTGCTTGGATAGGGTGCTAGGCCAGGATTTTTTCGTGATGACAAGTCTCAGAAAAAAGGTACAGGTTTGTTATATTTATCTTATGTCTATTTTTGATCAAATGGAAGCTGATGTGGTGTTATTTCTCCCGTCCCTTACATCTCCAAATAGATGCAACTCGTGACAATGACTGGACATGTCCAAAATGTGGCAATGTGAATTTCTCGTTCAGAACTGTCTGCAACATGAGGAAGTGTAACACACCCAAACCTGGATCCCAGGTTTGCTACCTTTATTTCTATTGTGCATACTGGTTGTGATTAAATTTTTTATTTTGGAGAAAATATCATTAGTTTTTAACATTTTTTAATTAATGTTTAACATTGTTGGATGTGTAACTCGATCTGCAGGCCTCAAAATCTGACAAAAATTCTAGTAAGTAGCTTCCCACGCCCCCTCATGACACATCTGTCTCTATTTAAATGATGTCATTACCTGATACAAGAATAACAGTTGGTAATTATGTTTATTTGCATTTGCCTTTCAGAGCAAAAGATGCCTGAGGGAAGCTGGAAGTGTGAAAAGTGTAATAACATAAATTATCCATTCAGAACCAAGTGCAACAGACAGAATTGTGGTGCTGACAAGCCAGCTGAGTCAGAAAAATCTGCTTCACCAGCTGGAGATCAAAGTGATCAGGTTTGTTGTGTGAAATATATTCATTTTGTTAGCCTTCATTCCTTGTTGCAACAGTTGTGGGTTTTCCGAGAGCAGCTTTGTAACATAATGTACATTTTGAAATGGGAAGCTGTTGTGAAGTTGCCTTTTAAGTGGATTCTATGGAAAAGCTTCAGTTTTGCTTCCTTTCATTTGGAACCTTTTTATTACACCTTTTTAATTTCCTCCGTATCTATCCATTGCAATCTTTAATTTTGCAATTATTTACTGTTCCAGTGAGTACTAGGACATGTTTGAGGGTTGAGAAGGTCCAGAGTTGTCATCAAGCATGCTCAATTTGGGTGTCTGACAGTCAGTCTTGTCGTCTTCTATGTTGCAGCAGTTGTCAAGTCACTCACCTTCTCAATATGTGTCAAGTTGTTGTATTAACTGAGATGGTATTTTGGTCTTTGTGGATTGTTATGATGCATGTGTCAGCCAGCTTTCCTGGCATAAAGGTTATTGCAGGTTCCAGTTTTAAGTTTTCTTTTGGTTCTTGACTGTCTGCGTTCTTAAGTATTTCTTTAGATGAATAGATGCCTCAAAAGAATGTGAACATTCCAAGTTTTTAGATTTATTAGGTCTTTCTGTTTTGGGTAGTTGAAAGTGTCTTCCTAACCTATCGCTATTAGGATGTATGCACCAGCATTACAAAATCCATTTTCTTTCGTGTTGCTTGTAGCTAGCTACATGGATGATTCATGTCGTGTCATTGAATTAAACTTAACAGATTATTTGGTCGATCGTAGACTTATTTTACAGCTCATTTAGATAAGAGTAATCTTTGTTGGTAGTCTTTGTAGGGTCCTTGCTTGTAGTGCTAATCTTTAAGTTTCTGGTATTTCAATCTTCTATTTTGCTTTCCTGCCTGTCCACCATTGACAATGTCTAAAAAAGTTCAGTGGAAACTGTGTAGTTTGAACATTTAAATGTGGATGTCAAGTGAGTATTTGTCGTGTCAATTATGGATCGAGTCGCTAGGCAATTTAGCCCTTGGAATTATTATCCGTTAGCATAGTCCCCGAATTTAAGTGTACTAGTTGGTCTCTGAATTTATGAAACTCGCATAACAGTCATTCTTGTATCTTAAGCTTAAGCCCCAAAATGGACCAATTTGTTGTGGATTTTGCAAATTTGAAGACTAGAATACATGAATAAATTCAAGGACCAGCAGATAATTTCAGGGGCGAGCTTAAATGATTAAAAATATGAACTGCTCCATACGAATTTGTGCTATAAATCTAAGCAGAGGATGATCGCGAAGAGAGATGAAGCTCGATATTATAGTGCGATGATGCTTCAAGATAAAGGTGGACTTTCTTGACGAACGATTTGATATTATTAGCAGCATGCTTGTATTAAAAATTTTTAGCTATAATTTGATTTATTGTTAGGGTTAAATTATATCGATAAATAAAATATCGTAACTTCTAACGTGCATGAGACTGATTAAATTACAATCAAATGTCTATTGCATGTTTATTCTAATAAAATTTTCATCGAGCCATGGAGAATGCTACTGAAGAAGCTGATACTAGAATCAATGATTTCAGTAACATTTATGAGTTGCCTGGTGATAAGAAAGTTAATCTCATTTTGATAAAAGGATTTGACTTTTTTTTTTCTTTTTCAAACCGACTCGGAACCTATTATTTTAAAGTGAGAATAAATTGTATACGAAAAAGATATTCAATGCCGTTAGGATGAGCACGTTTCGTTTCAAATTTTTAGCTTAAATGTTAATTAAACAATCTATATGCTGGTGGAATGTGGTTGAAATTAATAAATTTTTAACAATATATAATGTATATACTTCTATTAATTCCCCCGCTCTAAGAGTAACTCCAACGTAAGTTATCATAATATTTATATTAATGATGAAACATTAGAGTATATTAGTTAAAAAGCATGAAAGGTAAATGAATATATTAATTAAAGGTAATTTAGCTCATAATAATAAAATATTGCAAGTAGTTCTATAAATTATTTAAAGATTGCAGACAATCTTTCAATTAAAATAATAACATTATATAGGTATGAGGAGAGTTGAGTGTTATATTATCCGTGTTTTCATGCTCACAACTCTTTAGGTAGTTATATTCAGATTTATTTGATGGGTAAATTATCTTTATCAGTTGTAGGTAGATTTTATTCGTATGTAGAGCTGGCATGTGTTGTCTGCATTTATATCGGCCTATTGGGCATGCAAGAACCTTCAAAACTACACTTTCCTCGTCAAATATCGAATTTCAGAGATTGCTAAATATTATTCCTATTAAAAGGAAAACGTAATGGCAACACAGAACCAATCTTTTATATATATATATATTTATTTTTAT